TCTGAATAATTTTGGTATCTGGCGCAAGTCGCCCTTGCTTTTTTATCGGCATCTCGGATTTTTCCTTGTCCCAAAGGACTGATGTGTGATTGTTTCCCTCACTTTCTTCCTCTCTCTATATGAACTGGCCACCCGGATTGGTTAATCACCTACGATCGAATGATTGTGTGAGCTTTGACCAACGACCGAAGATTTGATGTATGAATGATTGTCAACTCCTTCTTGCTAATTGTGTGTGTTCGAAGCTAGATACCTGGATGGTTGATGTTTTCCTATCTGAGTATGACTAGATGAGCATGCTAGATGATTAGATGTCTGTCTCACGATAGGATTTCCCACCTTTGGGTTAACAAGCCCGGGCATACCGGTTGAGAGTTGCTGGTCTTTACCCACCCGGCCGACGCACAGGTCTTGTGCACGCACGTGTAAGCCCGGCCGAGGAAGGCCATTACTTACACGCGTGTCTGCAAAACCTACTCGGCCCACTTTCCGAATGTCTTAATTTCTGCCCATCCTGCAGTTTGAATATTGAAATCCCCTTTCATATCACTGACCGCGAGTTTCTGAGGGATCGGGAATTCTAGAAATATGGGGAGCACGCGTGCTAGTCCACACATTCAAGGGCGGAATCTCCGGAATTTTCCTACTTAACAAGGAACTAACGCATTGTGAGTGGGATATTGATTTGGCCTTGCGACGTATCCCCCATCTCCTAGGCTGCCCTAGCTCGTACATGTGCCAAGTCGTCGCGGAACCCGGAATCATTATGCTGGGAATCGAATTCCCTCCCTATCACCGCATCCTGCCCTTTCATTCCCTGACCATCGTCCCCTGGCGTGCAATCGCTCCCTACTGGCCCCAACCCCCGTGCTCGGAGTGCCTACAAGACCACGACTACCGAACCTCCGGCTTCATCTGACGAACTCACTCGGAGGAAGAACGACGGGCACACAGCCTGCGGCTGAGACCGACCACGTCGGATTCCGAGACCTGCGACTTTAGACGCCGACAAGTAATTAGCCAGCGAGATAGTCATAGCGTCCCGGCGGTACACCAGATACGAGTCCAACCCAGACAACGGAACCAACGAAGGCGCTAGCTCCGCCCTCCAAAACGCAAAACAGGACTTCCACCTGCACCTGCACTCTTGCATTTGTATCCCTGAAACTTGTCACAGGAGATCTCAATTCTGACCTGGGACTCCAACCCCACTTTCCTAATATCCTTGGCACACCCCCTTTTTGCACTTCCAGGCCCACCCTCACTCCGATCAGGAAGTCGCGCCGGCCGTGAGGTTTGGACGTCACAGGGCAAGCAAGAAGACTCTTAGGAGGAAAAGGAGGAAAAAAAGGTTTTGCATTAAGTGGACATCAGACGATCCTCGCCGTTGATTAATCCGTTCACTGTGCTAGCAAAGCAGCAGCCTTGAGACAAGAGCGAAAATAGTGGGGAATCATCGACACAAACCAGCTCGTCAACAGAAGATGCAGTTTAATCCAGTTTTTTCTTTTCTGGTTTCGCTCGTTCTTTTACCTTCCTTTTTTCTTTTTTGTAATGACAAACAAATTTCTTGATTGAGACGCCACAAAGGAAACAGGGGGCCACAAGACTTCAGGTAGCAATAGCGCTACAGTGCACTAGGTCCTACAGCGCTAATGCGCTGTTAGAATCACCGCTGCGTTAGGGCCCTATCCTCCTTAAGTCTCAAGGGAGGGGGGGGGCACGGCGGTTGGCACCTCATCGCTCTAAGTGCGTGTCTGAAGGTAGAACTGTTTTGGCCATCTCCTTGAGTCACCACCAGGATGACCTCCGTGAGCTAAGTCTCCGTGTTCGGTAATATCCGAGCAGGGTGGTGAAGTACGTAGACTGGTAGGCCAACCCCTCAACGTGGGATCTTACGTGAATTGTGTTCATGCGAAGAAGAAGGTAGTGCGATAGTTTAGCATGATAATGGAGGATGAGCGCCGGGAGGAGCTCGCCAGTGATACGTTCCTTACAAGTCATCGTGCAACAGTCCCAGTCAACGGTCAAGAAAGCTCATTCAGGGAAGCCCTGCCTATCGCTATGGCAAGCCAAGGCAGACCACCGGGGCGACAACAGAGAGGAGGACGCTCTCCACCTGGACACTCAGACATATCGATCGCAGGTGAGGATCGGATGCGTTTCATCTCGAAGTGCTACTATCATGGTATACTACTGGAGAAGTTCAAGCACGGCGAGTGGACGATGGAAGCAGGTGTCAAAACCATTGCTGTCACCCCTGGGCTGGATGAATTGATCACCAACTGGCTAAGGAAAAGAACAGTCACAATGATCTTTCCAGGTGCAGCAAGAGATCTGCCGATGAAAATCAGAGAAGACCTGATCAGGTCTTATGAGAATGGATGGTATAGACAACGAATGCGGCTGGATGAATTGACTACCAACTGGCTAAGGGAAAGAACAGTCACAATGATCTTTCAAGGTGCAGCAAGAGATCTGCCGATGAAAATCAGAGAAGACCTGATCAGGGCTTATGAGAATGGATGGTATAGACAACGAATGTT